TAAGACTTCTTCCAACGTAAAGAGGTCTGCACACTTAAATTTAGGGTGAGTATCTTATCCTCATCTTCCAAACAGATGTCCCATAAGCCTAACTATGTACACACTTCAAAGCCACTCTTCCTTGCCCCCTGCAAGAGGACATGTTCACATTTGACCACTGGTCCTGAGTGTCTAGGCATCTTTCCAGCCCTAAAGTTCTGGGGTCTCTCTGCAGGTTGAGACTATTGATAAAATGTATGTGTGTGTGTGTGTGTGTTTAATTAAAGTGGGTATAAAATCAGAAGGAGAGGAGAAAAGTCACTCCTGCCTATAGCTTCTATGTGAGAAAGGGCCTATCTCCACCCCATCACTTCTCTGAGGGCTGTTCCTTGGGTAATTGGGGCCAGAGTAGGGCTGCTAGGCCTACTCCTATGACTCCTAGGAACTAGAGGTCCAAGGGCTTCTGCCAACTTGCCCTGGGCCATGCATAAATGGCTGGGAGGAGAACCCTAGGCTTCTGACATACAGGCTGGCACCCCTCATGACCACCTCACAGTGTTTGGCCTTGAAATCAAGCAAGCACTCTTCCAGGGCCTTCCAGAGGCCAGGGCCTTCTGAGTGCCCAATATCTTCCTGTGTCCTGGCATTCAAGCAACGGTGGGAAAATTTTATACATGAGGAAACTCTAGAGCAGAGGATATTCAAGTTGCCGATGTCACACAGCCAGGGAGGAGACAGTCTCCAAAAGCCCAGCACTTGACACAACTCAGAACCAATATGGACCAATATGGAGTGGCCGGCTGAGTTTAAGATTCATAGGTCTCTTCAACTTGTGCAATTTTCTTATGGTCAGGTGTCTAGGGGTGGGGCTGGAGTGGTCAGGCTGTCCCTAAGGTTTTACTATCACAGCCCTACACAAAGATATCTGGGGTTAGTGGTGCTAAAAGGAAGCTAGCATCCACCAAGTTGTATGCCTGGCAAGAAGGGTTATCCATGGGTGGAGGAGGTACCTCTTATGTGTGTGTGCATGCATACAGATGGGCACCCAAAGGTGATTTCTATACAGGAGTTGAGCCAACGGGCATTGAGAGCATCCTCTTTTCTAATCTGTACAAAATCACCATATAGGTTGGAAAGTGTCCTGGGAGGGTAGATATAAGTCAGGGATGGTAAATTGTTTTCATCTTCTGGGTCAACTCCACCCTTAGTGGCAACATAGATGGCTGTGTTGAGAAGGAATATGAACTCATGTCTGGGAAGGGGCTCTGTGCTCAATGATTTCTGGCCTGGGTAGCAGATGGGCAGTGGCACTTGCAGGGAGAGTATTTGCCAGTTTTTTGCTATCACTGCTGTAAACTGACACCTTCTGTGTCAACATACAGCCCAAAGGAACCCAATGCCCAGTCCTGGCCCAGGGGAGAGGGGAACATTAGCTTTTGCTGTTTATTCCTGAGGCATGGAGTGTGGGCAAGTTCAAGAGGGTTAGGGATTCCTTTGTATCATAAATCACTATGAGACGTGTTTTAGAGAAATAAGCAGCATCAATTTGCACAGGATTGTGAAGCCTCCTCTTCTTCTGCTCATCTCTGCTTGCCTTTCAAGCCCAAATTGAAAGCTGGTTCCCCCATGAAGACCCACTTGCTCTTCTTTCTAAGGTTTTTCCTGCTTCTCTGAGCTCAAAGCTCTTAAAACCACCAAACACTTATCAGACCTGTCACCTGGGCAACTTTAGGGGCAGATACTTCTCTACATATACTCTCCTCCTCCCAACACCACTCTAGATAAACTGAATATTACTCTTATTAAAATCATTAATGCTATGTATCCCTGCCACATGATTGCTTATTCACAGCTAGCAAAGCACCTTCTTGTTCACATCCTCATCTGACCCCATCAGCCACTAATTGAGAAAACTGAGGTTTACAGAGAGGTCAGAGACTTCCCTAAGGCCACTCAGCCAGATTTCTTTTCTCCAAATCCTGTCTTCTCTCCATTGTCCCATTCTGAAGACTACAGGGTAGACAGAGTCACCACAAAGGGAAGGGGACAGGAATCCACGTGTCACCTTGGACTTCCTTTCTACCAGCAGTTCTGAGGACAATGCCACCACGACAGGAGACTGACAGACCAGGGCCAGTGAAGGGAAAGTTAGGATGTGGAGTGGATTAGGAGCAGGTGGCTTAGCCATCAGGCTTTCTGTGTGACCTTGGGTGAATCTCTTTCCTTCTCTGGCCATGGTGCCTCTCCCTCTATAAAGTAAGGCTCTGGCTACAACCTCTGACATTTTAAATGCAAGTCTTCTTAACATGTATGTGATGGGGAGTGGGGAGGTATGGAGTTTAGCTATGGCCCAGTCTTCTGGGCCTAGTACCCAGGCCTCTAACACCCATCAGGTCACCCTTACCAATCACTGCACCCCCATCCTACAGGAGGTGCTGTATCAGGGAATCCTGAGAGGTCAGCTGAGGAGTTGACCTCAGGTCAGTCAGCTGCTATCTAGGCAAACTGTGTGTCAGTTACTCAAATTTATTGATCACCCACTGGATACAGAGCCCACGTGTTAAGCAGGTGTGCTGTGGGTAAAGGGAGGGAGAAAAATACAAAGCCAAAGCAGCATTCAGTCTTCAAAGGGGAGCATAATCTGGCCATCCTTCCATCCCACTATTTAACCATTGACTTCGCAAACAGTTTTGGATCATCTACTACCTATGTGTGCACCAGGTCCTGTGTGAAGAGTGGGGGTGGCAGGGGTTGTGAAAGGGATAAAGGCCATCAGTGTGTTCACCAGGTATGATAAGCACCTTCATAGCATCAAATAACTCTGAAGGACAAGGAACCCAAACCACATGTTTCTAAGCAGTTGTCAGACTCAACTGTCTCAGGCTGAGAACCATGACAGAAGGGTTTTGTGTAGCTAGCAGTTTAGTTCACATGCTCCATCACTGCCTGTTTATTGCCTCATATCTGGTGGTAATGGCCTGACCCCTAAAGCAATTTGAATTTGCAACTCACATTAGGACCACCTTCGAACTATCAGGACTATCCTTGCCCAGAAGAGTGGGAGGCAGAGACAGAGAGCTCTACCTGGAGGTGAGTGTTTCAGGGTCTTCTCCGGGCTCCCCAACTGCTGCTTGTGTAATTAGAAGATGTCCCCTCTCTGAACAGAAGTTTTCTCTACAAACTCCAGGGAACGTCTGGGTCAGTGGTTTCAAATTCTATCCCCCACCATACCCCACCCTGGAATCTCAAAGATAGTAGCAGAGTTCCAGAGATGACCCCAAATATTTTCAAGAGTAAAATGATTATCACACACATTATTAATGGTGTGTGTGTGTGTACTTTTTCTTTAAACAAATAGGTTAACACTTTTAAAATATAAAGGGTACTGTATAGAAGTTTCTCTGATAAATAAAATATTAAGATATGATTGGTATATGAGCTATGGTTTGTATCAATAATTGTAAATCATTTGATAGACAAAATCTTTAAAAACATGATCAAATGAGACTGAAAAAAATTGAAGGGGCTCTTGGTTAGTGACATTGGAAAAGAGCTTCATTGGTCTTCACTGAAGTGCTTTCAGGTCTAAGAACTCACAGATGTGAGTGGATGTAGATCATGGAAGAAATCTTCGTGGAGGGGGGTGGCAGAGAGCTGACCTTTATGGGATATCTTCTGATAACCAAGCTCAAATTGGTAAATTCACAAATATCCCCAGAGATTGGACGGTGACTGTCCCCATTTTCCCCATTTTACAAGTTCACTCTAAGAGCTTAGGCACCACGCCCAGGTTATTTAGCAGGAAGGTGGCAGAGCTGGCACTTACACGTTGGTGGAATGGCACCAGAACCAGGTTTGAGGTGGGAGAGGGGGTTTAGGTCCCCTCCAGGAGCCTTGACGCTAGGTTCCTGGTGCTGGTGCAGTGCAGGCAGCGAGTGACCACTTCAGAGTGAGAGGGCCCCAGGGCTTTGGGGTGAGTCAGGTGGGGGCGGGGGCTCGCTCCAGGCATACTTGGACTAGCTGGGTTGTCCTGGAAGGCATGGGGGTGGGGGTGGCAGTCGTCTTCCAAGCTCCTTCGGACCCATCTGGTGTTCTGGCGACTCGCAGGACCCCGCGGATCTGGGGAGAAGAAAGGGACGAGAAGCGAGGCTGGCCCAGAGCAGAAACAAGAAAGGGAGAGGGGGTGGGGAGAAGGCGAGGGAAGGAGGCGGGGAGTCCTTCCTGGGGCAGGAACTCGGGCCCCCCTTGGCAGAGTCGGCCCGCAAAGCGATTCTGCAGATGGAAGGAATTAAGTAGGAGGGGGAGGGTCCTACAGTGATAGCGAGAGAAAGGGGGGAGATGTGTGTGTGTGTGTGCGTGTGTGTGTGTGTGTGTGTGTGTGTGTGTGTGTGTGTCTGGATCTAGGAGGGGCGGGGGAGACAGAGACACATCAGACTAGAAGGAAATGGAACGGACGAAGAGACCGAGACAGAGCCTCGGAGAAAGACGGGCGTAGAGACGAGGGACACGGGAGATAACAATCTGAGAGAGAAGGCAGTGTGAGACAGGTTGGGAAAATATAAAAAGAAAACCGAGTGACAAAGAAGTTAATGGAGGGCATTTGGAAAGAACGAGAGACAGAAGAGAGCCAAGAGCAGCACAAGACGAGCTTGATCGGAACGCTGCTGTACTGAGAGTTCCCGCAGACACCCGAGTAAGACTAGGGGCGCCGGGGGGGAGGGGTGGGGCCTGGAAGGGGGCCGCCCAGGGGCGGCCCTACACGGAGCTACATATTTAAATGAGCTCTAGTCCCCTGTTCGCCCCGCCCCACTACTTTATATTCAAGAAGACAGCCAATGGGGGTCGAAAACGATGATAGAAGGGGAGCGGTCTCTGTGGGCCCCACCCCGAGAGCTGTCGCCTAAGGGGTCAACATTGAGGCAGATAGCGGATCGCTGCGCCGGGCGGGGCGGGCTTAGCGAAGTGGGAGGGCCCAAAAGTTTCCTGCCCAACTTTCGCTGCCTCTTTCCTCCGCCCGCGCGCGCTGCAGCCGCAGTCCAGGGAGGCGGCGGCAGTGGCGGGCAACGCGCAGGGCGCAGGGCGCAGGGCGCGGGCGATCGCCGTCGGGGAGCAGGCGGCAGGCAGTGGGCGCAGGCTCCCCGGTGCCCGCCCCTCCGCTGGAGGTGGGGGGCGCAAGTGGGCTGCCGGGGAGGGGCCGGCACCGCAGCCGCAAAATGAGCCTGCTTTCGGCCATCGACACGAGCGCCGCCTCGGTTTACCAGCCGGCCCAGCTGCTCAACTGGGTCTACCTGTCGCTGCAGGACACTCACCAGGCGAGCGCCTTCGATGCCTTCCGGCCCGAGCCTCCCCCTGGCGCAGCGCCTCCAGAGCTGGCGTTTGGCAAGGGCCGCCCGGAGCAGCTGGGCTCGCCCCTGCACTCCAGCTATCTCAACAGCTTCTTCCAGCTGCAGCGCGGAGAGGTGGGTGCCCCTGCGCGCCGCCCCCCACCCCCCACTCCGTCGACGGCAGGGGGCCTTTTCCTATCTGCCCCGCTCTTCCTGGCCTGGCCTGGCTCCGTATTGCCCGGCCCCGCTTGGCTTGGCTTGGCTCAGCTCTGCCAAACTCGCTGCCCGAAGTCCCCGGGGCGCCGGGAGCGCGTCACCTCCCGGCTGAGCCCAGCCGGGAACAGCTCAGGCGCGGGCGGGGCTCTCCCACCCCCTCTCCTACCCCGGGGCACCCAGCTTAAAGGGGTCAGGGGCGGGCCAGCTGGTTGGGGGGCTCCGGATTCTCTCCAGACAGCCAGGGCGCGGCCAGGGCGGGGAGACCCTTCCAAGTGTCCTTCCCACACCCAACCCCATCCCCCTCTTGGCCACCGCTAGCTGGGACCGACAGTGCAGATTCTACTCCGATCTCCTCTTGAGGGGCCTAAAATCTTTTCTCCTTCGACCTCGGTGGTTTCCGACCCGAAGTGCACCCTGGAGAGCAGTGACTCGCCCAGAGGGCTTTTCCTGCTGTTCGCACACTGGGACCCCCAGATACATCCTCCAGCTGCTCGCCCTCCCCCAGCCACATAGGAAGTGGTTTTTGAGGGCTTGACCCCACAGACTGCGCTGTCCCCCGCCCTCCCAGCCTGGAAGGAAATGAAAGGGAAATCCTTTTGAGCTCTTGGGAGGGGGGCTAGTAGGGGGAAGGATTCCAGCTGCCCAGTGCCTTCTCTAGAAACCTGGGCCCACTGCTTACAAAGTCTGCTGTTGGGTGGATTCAGTTACAAAGTGAAAGAGGGCAGGCATCTTCTTCCCCAGCTAAATAAACACACACAGACTGCCAGGAACTCACAGCCCCTTTTGAGGGTCTTCAGAGTCTTCCAATATACCACTCCTTTCTCTTTTCAGCTGGACTCCTCCTCCCCCTCCTCCCCCACTCCCACTTACTCCTGCTTCATTTGTGAACTGCAGGCACCCTTCTGTGGCCTTCATTCACTCACCTTCTAGCAGCTCTCTCTGTAAAAGTTCAGGGGGAAGGGGTGAGGGAGAGGACACACATGAGGGTCATTTTCCTTCTAGACTTTAGCACACCAGCTAGTTTTAGGACAGTCCAAGGCCTGAACATTTGGAGAGAAGTCCTGTGTAGGCACCAGTGCACTAGGGATGAAAGGTGAGACAGAGGGTCTCCCTTTCTGGCCCCATCGTGTGTTCAACTCTGCCATTACTGACTAGAGGGGACATGGACATATAAAATGCTGGCCTCAGGCTAGATGTGGGCCAACACCAGGTGAACTGAGAGAAGGACTGGTTGACCTGTGTTGGGCTGGTTGGGCACAGTTGAAGGAGAGGAGTGTGGAGAGGCAGCCTTTGGTGACAGGAAAAAGAATTTGTATGCCAAAGCTCTTTGTAGACTGTAAAGCACGCTCCACACGAGGAATTGTTTTTGGCTGGGAATCTTTCTTTCTTGTAAGAGAATTTGCTGCCTCTTCAGGGAACTGGCTTTGGGGATGAGTGACTTTGGAGGGCAGTGTGAGGTGTTTTTTCAGTGAGTGGGTCTTTTCAGTTGTCTTAGCAAAAATTTGTTGAGCTTTGTGTGGACCTCTGGGGACTCAGTCATGGGCTCATGGGGCCCAGATTAGAAGACAGACAGGATGATACTGTGCGAATGGTTGGGTGATTTCATGAAGGTCCTGTGGAAGCCATAAGGGAAGAGGGTGAGTGACCTATAGGTCAAGTGGGGGTCCCTAATCACCCCTACTAGTCTTCCTCTGTCCCCATCCTATGGTGGCCTTGCTCCCCAAAGGTGGGTCTCTGCTGAGAGGGCCTGGGAGTTTTGTCCATCAGGAGTCCCTTGGGAGGAGGATGGTGTGCCTTGTCTTGGAAATTTCTGGCATCCAGAATCCTAGCAGGGTCTACGTTCTGTCACTTCACTGCTGCTTACCTCAGTTTCCCCATGAAGAGGCACATTCCTTCGCTGGGGTCGGTGTAGAAGGAGCTAGCCAAGGTTATGTAGAGCAGTGGAAAAAAGTCTTTCATGACCTAACTTTGAGGAACATTCCTGTCTCTGGGCCTCAGTTCACCGATCTGTTAAATGTAGTCTCTGTTGTTAAATGTAGTCTCAGTGGTGTGCATGGGATTTGAGAGCTGTACAAACAGGAGAGGATGTGCCTACAGACAGGCCGTGTTAGGGAGGTAACAAGGGCTTCTCCTGTGCTCCTAGGCCAGTGGCTTCCTTGGAGGGGCTGGAGGACTGTGCTTGCTGACTTCCAGAAGGCTGTCTTGGCTTCAAGCTCACTTATTCTCACCTGTCAGCCACTTCACCTCCTAAACCCTCTTGGAGCCCTAGCTGTGCTCCTGGGGACAGGCTTCTCCTGCATCTAGGACTTAGTCAGTGACCTAATGTGGATCCAAAATAGCCACTGGCTGAGAAGGCAAGAAAAATACCCCACAACTAAATGCTACCAAGGGCCCAGTTGAAAAGGAAGCAGATCGTGTGTGGACCGGAGGGGACTCTGTGAAGGAACACAGGGACCCAGGAGCGTTGCCATTCTGTGCGAGGCCTGGCAGTCCCAGTGGCAGTGCCTGTGAATGTGACTTGCATGCTGACTGCTGACCACAGCCTGTCTGCGCCAGTCCCCGTGCCAAGAGCCCACCCCCTCCTGCACCACCCCCAGGCTGCTCCCACCACAATAGCAAAACACCATGAATGCAGCTGGGATTTGGGCGGGGGGTGGGGGTGTTGAGGACGTGGGGGCACAGAAGCCCATTGTGCCTCTGGAACCTCAGCTCTGGAAGCTGAAGATAAGCCAAGGGTTCTGAGTGGAACACTGGCCCTGGAAGCAGAGAGAAAGATGGCAGAGTTCATGTGCAAGTGCAGGAGCAAGCATCAGGAGGTGACTTGGATACTTGGAGGTGCTCCTCAGCTTCTCAGCTTGTGGTGAGGGTACCAGGCCAAAGCAGGCAGAGACACTTTGTGCAATTTTTAAAAAAGGCATCTAGGTCTAGAAACTGGGCCCTGTGAACCCTCTTTCAACCCATCATTTGTGATAACTCCTTGTCTTTGGATAGAGACTCCTGAAGCCCTTGGCTTAGCACTCTCTCTCTCTCTCCAGGTACTCAAGGAAGGCAGCTCTTAGAGGGAGGGGGAGGTGGGAGACATGGGGTCTTCCCTGCCAAGTTTTGTTTGGAATTTAAATTCACAGCTGTGTATGTACAGTGGGACCCCACTTCCAGAAAAGTAGAATTATGACCTTGTTGAGCATTAGCTCTTGTGCCCCTCAGAGTGATGCTCAGAGACCCTCCTGGGTAGTCCCTGTGCCCTCTCAAGGGGAGAGAGGTGGCTATGCCACCCTTGGTCCAATTAGGGAAGCCCCTTTCTTTCCCTGTTCCTCCAGGGACAGGTGTGGCTTGCAGATGTGACCACATGGTCAAGTAATTCTTCATGGGGACTGTGGGGAAAGGCTTTGGGGTGAAATGCATCTGGAAAGCATAGCATACTGTCCTTCCTTCAGAGACACACAATGCCCTCTAGCACTGTAAAGGGTCTGAAAAGTCCTGCAGCACAAAACCTATTAATCATTTTTCAACCCAACATTTTCCATGCCTATTTGACTGGAGTACCTTTTGGCACAGAACACCTAGCAGTGTTCTTTGGAACATCTCCAGACCCAAGGAACACTCCACTGAGGCAGACATCTTCCTTGTTGGATAGTTCCAACCCTTAGGAGGCTCCTCCTGGAACTGTGAACCCAGGGGCCCTCCCCAGGTCCTAGCACCATCTTCTGCAGCATTGAAGGACCCCCCCCCCCACCCCTTTACCACTCTGACCTGCCTGTAGGAGATTTGAGAAAAGTGTCAAAGGTGTCACAAGGCTTAACAGATAAGGCTTCAGCAATTCTGCATAGACAGGACTCTTAGAATCCTAGGAGGAGCGACTATGGGGTCCTGTTTTAAAAGGGCCCCAGGTCTTGACAATTCTTCTGAAGGTTTTGATGTGTCCCCTGTGCCCTCCACAGGGACAGATGAACCAAGGGGTCACATTACCAAGGTGGATGTGTAGAACAAAGCCACATCCCTGTATGAGGATGGGAGTTTGCCTCACTGGGGCTAAGAGTGGGTTTTAGGAGCTGAATTTGTTCTCAGCAGCCTCTGTAGTCTGTATGGAGTGGGGTGGGAGGTACAGACCCAGGTCCTGGGAGGAATGACCGCTCTGGCCTAGACAGGAGTTTGAAAGGATGCCTGGCTCCCTTTGGCCACCCCCAGGAAGCTGAGCTGTGACTCAAAAAAGGGGGACTGTCTTTTGAGGGCTTATTGGCTGAGGTGGCCTGATCCACCCTTCATCAAATGAAGTTAACTGGGTGGGACTAGCCTCAGAGAGGAGACCGAACCTCAGAGAACTTATGAGTCAGGTGGTAGTGAGGAAAGCAAACAGCATTAGTAATTACTAATTAGCAGTGACAGAGAGCCAAGCTCTGTCAGCACCAAGAGTAGGGTCCTGTGGAGAAGATGCTCTTGAGTAGCAGTTGCTTACTCTCCAGTGGTGCTTTAATCTTGGCCTCTCTTTCTTCATAGCCTCCACCTTCAGAAGAGAAAGCAAAGATCTGGCTGGTCAGCCAGTAAGTCAGGGGCAGAGCCAGATCTAGAACTCTACTGTAGTCCAGTTGCAGTAGTCTCAGTGGCTCATCTTTCTGGTCTCAAGGGTGGCTCCCATCTGGATCATTCTTATGGGTGCCACTGCAGGGCAGGCCATAACCAGGAACATTCTGTCAAGCCTCAGTGCTTCTGACCTTGTCTTCTTGATCCCAGACCTTTTGAGGAGTGGTAGCACTGGTCATGGGTACTGGGTTCTCTTCTGTGCCCCTGCTCCAGCCACTCCTCAGACACTCAGCATGGGGCTCCATGGGATGTGAGTCCAAGGGCAGCCTTGCTTGGGAGAGGCAGAGGAGATGGACACTGAGCACTTCCTATACCTTTGTCTCATATTGTAGCCTGTGTGT